CTCACGCATACACACACACAGCACGACCGCATCCTCAAATAGCACCGCTGAAACGATGCGACACACACACGTACATACATACACTCACACATACACACACACGTACATACATACACACACACATACACACACACAGCACGACTGCATCCTCAAATAGCACCGCTGAAACGATGCGACACACACACGTACATACATACACTCACGCATACACACACACACACGTACATACATACACTCACGCATACACACACACAGCACGACCGCATCCTCAAATAGCACCGCTGAAACGATGCGACACACACACGTACATACATACACTCACGCACATACACACACACAGCACGACCGCATCCTCAAACACACACACACGCACATTATAATTATAATATAATTAAACATGTAATAAATAAATTACGAAATCATGATATTTACAGTAACACTACCAAAGCTCAAAATTCCTCATTAAAAGCTTATTCTGATGAAACTCGAGTACTAATGTTCGCGTGCAACTTACCGAGCGGGTAGATGCGTAGTTGAAATGGGAGCATGATTCGCTTCGACATGAAGTTATGCGGCCTCTCCCCCTCACGCGGAAACAACGGCAGCCACACCTGCCGAGGAAACCACAAACATGTTCACTTGTTATGTATAGACTGATTAACCAGCTGCAGCTCTATATCGAAAATACATCGAGGGATTTTCTTTCACATATGCAAGGAAACCGCAAATGTTCACTTGTTATGTATAGACTGAATAACCAGGTCCGGCTCTACAACGAAAATACATCGACGAATTCATTTTCATATATGCAAGGAAACCACAAATGTTCACTTGTTATTTATAGACTGGCTGTGCCATCAGGGAGTGGCTATACAGTAAATATACATCATAACTGAGAAGCAAAAGCAAAAGGTAAAATGAGTTAGCACGAGATAGTGGTAATGTTCCACACAAAACAATACGTCAATTAATTATTTATATCACATAGTATACATTCACAATTTTATTTCATTACTATTATTATTATTATTATTATTAACCACATCAGTTTATCATTCTCATACAATCGCACACACACACCCACACCCACACATGTACGATTGTATGAATTACAGAAATTTACTTTTTAAACCCACTTCACAGATTAAATATCACACGCATCATGTAAAAACAATGACCAGTCATTCTACGATCATTCTCCACTCTATTCTCTACGATATAATAATTAATCGTATTATTATTATATTAATATAAATTATTATATTATTATAAATTATTATAATCGTATCTATTATTCTTTATATATCACTCTACATCTTCTATGTTGTCTATGTCTTCTTCTAATCAGTCGTGATTAGAGCGAGTATTTACGTCGGCCCGCTTCATCACGGAGGCTGCGTAGTATTACCTTCATGCCCTGCGCGCCGCATCCGATCCACAGAGCTTCGGTGAGATGCCGCTTCTCGTTACTCGTCCACAGAGAGATCCAGATGTTCTCTACTCCCGACGCCAGCATCACCGGAGGGTCGTACTGGATCTGTGGTGGAAGCGAGAGAGAGAGAGAGAGAGTTAGATGGGGGAG